GAACAATAAATCATTTCATTCCTCAAACACACCTAACATGTATAAATGCAGGAATATGACACAAAAGAAAAAAAAAAGGTTGCTGAAAGAAGGAAGGAGGGCCTTTGGGGCACTTGAATTCATCCAGAGGCAGGTGTATTGTGATCGGGTATTGAATCAGAGGGGCTGCATTCAAATCCCAGGTTTGTTATCTTGTGAGCTGTGGGGCTTTTGCAGTTACCTTCTCCAAGCCTCAGTTGACTCATCTGTACAGAGGGAATAGCAATGGAAACTGGCTTGTTGTAATGATTAACTGAGATAATACATGTGAAGTGGTTGGCACAGTGCCTGAGTCAGGATTTGTCCTCAGAGCCTGTGTGCTTAATCTCTGTGTACTACTGCTGCCCATCTTGCTGGGAAAACAGAGGTGGGAGGCATGTAAGGCTGTGTGAGAAAAGTGACAGGGCAAGTGGGAGAGGCCCAGAGAGAGAGAAGAGCTCCTCAGGGGTGAGCGGGGAGCAGTGGGGGTCGACATCCCAGGCAGAGAACAGGGTGTGCCTGAGCTCAGTGAGCCCGTGGCGAGGTGGCTGGAATTGAGGCTGTGGCACAGGACTGGTGTAGATCCCAGGGGGCTTCATGGACCCCCCCCGACCCCCCGGGAAGAGGCTGGATTTTTATCCAGTGTAGGCAGTGAGGAGGTACCCAGTATTTTCAACAAGAAAATGAAATGATCATATCTGGATTATAGAAAGAGCCTGCGGGCAAAGCAGCAGGGCTGGAGGCGGGGCAAACAGTGAGGGGGTGTGTCTGCGGTCCAGTTGAGAGATGGTGGCGGAGGAAGGCAGTGTCAGGACAGAGAGGAGTCCCTGGGCTCAGCCGGGGGTCTCATGCACGATCGACAGGACGTGGGACTGTCAGGAAGAGACTGGAGTCTCTCCCAGTTTCTGCCTTGGGTGTCTCAGTGGAGGGTGATGCTGGCCACAAAGTTAGTAAAACTGCATGGATTGATCGATACAATATAAAAAACCCATCAGCCATGGAGGGAATCACAGGATAAATTGATCCGTGAATTCACAGACGTTACTCTACGACTTGATAATTCCTCAGGACCACAGCACAAAGAGCTACAAGCCCACTAATAGTTGTATTGCTTCTTACAAGTAGAATGAACAGCTCCAAAAGGCCTGCCCCCATTTCCCAGCGGCTCCCGGAACGTCTCTAGACCAGGGTCTGGGCCCTGGTACCTTAGCCTTGGGCCAGGACATTTTGTGTGACACCGTTTGTATAAACAATTAGAAAGATTTCTCAACCTTACCCATTTTCTTAAATCAAATAATAATAAGGCTCAGCAACCAAGAAAACTATGCCGTTTTTTTTTTTAAATCTATGTATTGCTTGTAGGGAATGGAGATTTTGTTTTTTAAAGAAAAAGAAAAGAAAAACACTATAACATATTCTGGTAGAATTTGGTGCTTCTTTCAAGATTATCTTGAACTTCTTTTGTCAATTAGGAATATTCCTACACAGAAAATCCTTTTCTCTTTATAAAAATGTTTATTTCACAGATGTTCTACAAACATTTTTTTGTTCTACTCATCATCCCACTACCTAACTGATACCCACTTGAATTTTTCTCTGTCCCTTTCCATGACAGTATTTGTACAAATGTAAATTATAACCACAGCATTGTAGCTTGAAGGCTTCTCTTTCATTTAATGTTATCATAAACATTTTCCATGTTGTGACATACTTTTTGTTAGCATCATTTTTAATACCTGCATAATATTCTATTAGGTGTATATGCAATCATTTATTTAGCCAGTTCCCTATCATTGACCATCTATGTGGTTTCCAGTTTTTCACTCTCATTAGTAACCCTGTACATAGCTTTTTCTTGTCTTAGATTATTTCCTTAGATTAAAAAATATGACTATCTTCTGGTTCTGGATATATATTGTAAAAAATCTTTGGGGAAGTGTTGTACTAATAATAAATGATGCCATCAGCAACCTATGAGTCTTTCAGTTGTAGCACAAATTAACAGCACTCAATATTATCATGTTCAAATGGCTGCTTACATCAGAGCATTAAACATAGTACCTTCCTGTTGTGCCTACCATGCAGGAGAAATTTCCAGACTGAAATACAGAAAAATCTGTTTTTCATAAGCATCTAATATGTGTTTATTTTAATGGAAACTTGGACTCTTGCAACTTTATTGTATTATCATCTTTGATTGGGTAGATAGGAAACTCAGAATACAAATCATAATCCACTTTGAATAAATGTGAAGATCCCCTGGCTTCATCTTCATGCATCCTGCATTTTCCCTTGATCTCTGTCAGCGTATATACACCTGCTCAGTATTGTACTTTTGTGAACAGCTGCTTCAACTCTTGGCTCTGAAACCAGTTAATGGGGTGAAAGTCTGGAGGGTGTGCTTGGCCAGAGGTGCCCAAGGTGCCGAGGCCACCCACCCCAGTGCGCCCTTAGCCTGCATCATGGGGCAGAGTGTTTAGAAAGCCCTGTCCCTGAGCCCACTCAGATCGCCTCCTGAATACCGCATTTTCCCCAGTTCACAACACTTTGAGAGGGACACAGACAAAGGAAGAAGCCCATGTCCTGAGCTCACAGGAGTTAGGGTTAAAGAAACTTGTATATGTCATCTACAAAAGTGACACCCTGAGAGGACGCAGAATTCTCACATCGTTTCTTCAGTATCATTGTTAGGAAAAGGAAGAAACGTGGCTCGGTGTCACGGGGAAGTCAGATATAGTGAGACGAGAAACCAAAATCAAGAAAGCAAAGTGAGTTTTAATACGCTCTGCAGAGCATAACAGAGTGGGCCTGCCCAAGATAAGACAGGCCCGGGTGCTCATTCTGAGGCTTGTTTTATGTGGTTTTAGCAGGGCAGATAGGCCCTTGATTGACAGGTCTCAGCTCTCTGGGCTTGTTCTGGTTGGTGAAATGAGGCCGTGGGCTGTGCTGTGCCTGTGCTTCTGATGTTTCTTATTTGGAGGGACCCTGGACATTTCCTGGGTCACTCTTGGACCCTGTGGCTTCATCTGATTAGTTCTCTGAGTCATTTCTGGCTCTCTGGCTCTTCCTGATCCACTCCCTTAGTCATCTTTAGGGGGTCCTCCCTCTCTCCTCTTCATCCTGCTCGTTTCTGTTTTTCTGCCTAACATCATCACAATAACATTTTGGAAGCCCTTTTACTTCCAAAAGTGCTATCATGATGTTATCTTACTACATTCTCCAACCATCCTTGTGTGGAATACACCTTTTTCCACCCATTTCAGACAAGGAAATGCTGACCCATCCAGTCTCCACACTGGAAAGTCAGCTTCCTAATGGGCACAAATGGTTGATCTCCACACTACCTATTCTGGATGTTCAATTTCTCTCTAAGTTGTCCACTTCTTTCCATCCATGGATGCCAGTTTAGTTGAGGCCACCATTGTCTATCCCTCTGATTTGGGGAATACTCTACAAGCCCCTGAGTCCCCAGACATCAGAGGAGGAAACAAAGGCACAGAGAGGTTAAATAATATGTCCCAAGCTCAGATACTAACAGGATCACAATAAATGTTTGTTGAATAACTAAGCAAACCAATCAGTGAGAGTATCAGGGTGGGTAGAGGAGGAAGTGAATGAATCTGTAGAGATTCATCCCTACCTCTGAGAAAGTACTCATGTTTGTGCCCTGCTAATGAGAAGTCAGCAATAGCATCTTGTCTCACAAAGGACCTCATGCAGGCATGCTCTCTCTGACCAGGCATGCCTGCCCGATACTGTACTTGAAAGGGAAGGAGTCTGGGAGAATTTGGTTAGACTTAAGGGAAAAGTCCCCAAAGTAGCAGGGATTGAGTTATCTGACAGTGGTAATAATGAGTAGTGTTTATTGAGCCCTTACTAAGTGCAAGGCACTGCTGCAAAGTATTTACATATATTTACTTTATAGATTTCTCAAGAATTCTTGAAGGTAGGGGTTATTATCATTCCCATTCTACAAATGAGGAAACTGAGTCATTTGAATGTTCAATAACTTGGCCGACTAACAAAGGGCTGAGTTGGGGTCTAATCCAGGTGTTCCTCTCCAAAGCCCTTGGCAGAGCCCCTGGCCTATCCTGCATCTCTCCAGACATCATCTTAGCAAACAGCAAGGATGAGGTTGTTTTCACTTACATGGGCAGCCCCTCCTCCCCGTTTCTTGCAAGATGGTGTGGCTGTCCCGGGCAACAGCAGTGAGCACCCTCCACTCTGCAGATGAGTAAAGGATGCCCTCCAGGACGGGGGTCGGGCTTCATTCCTTCATTCAGCAAATGAAGATTGAGCTCATGGCATGTGCCAAGCCCTGCGCCAGGCCCTGCTTCCACGGAGCTTACATTCAAGTAGGGGAGACATGCAATTAGCCCTCAGAGAGCAAGCAAACAACACGGTTTCAGAGAGTGCTCGGTGAGAAGACATAGCGCGGGGCCGCGTCACGGCCGGAGACCCCTTGTGCTGCTCTCCACCAGCTGGGCAGAGAGACAGGGCCCAGAGGCCCAGATGGTTTAAGAAGAGGAGCCAGTCCTGTGAAGATGTGGATGAAATCTCAGTCCAGGCACAGGGAACTGCAATATCGAGTCCCCCAGTGGGGTGCATACCTGGTATGTTTCAGGAATGGAAAACAGCCAGTGTGGCAGGATCTGGTGAGCAGGGGTGAAGAGTCAAAGGAGAGGAAAGCCAGGAGGTTCGCAGGGGCTGAGGCGCAGAGGCTGAGGGTGGATTTCAGCCCAGGTGCGCTGGAAGCCTTTGGAGGGCTTAAAGCCGGGAAAAACACGTTCTGGGTCAACCAGTGCCCTCCCTACATCGTGACTAGGAGGGGCGAGCACAGAGTGGCCAGGTGAGACCCCCTCAGTATCTAGAGCCCCACAATCACTCACATACTCCCTTCCTACCTTGCAGCATCATAAAATTCAGTCACTTGTGCTTCCAGCGTTTCCAGATGGGTAACTGATTCTTGTGTTGACTTACAGATCATAAGGCAGCAGTTCCCTCAATTAACCACCAGAAGACTCGGGACCAGAGGACAGTCAAAGTAAGCACGGCAGCCCCCCACCTGCAGCGGGCACATCTCGGGGCCTCGAGTCAGACCCTGACCCCAGGTCGTTCATCCTGAGCTCAGTCCGCAGGCCTGGCAGGGTCTGGGCGTGGGAGAAGCAGGAAGGAGCATTAGACAGCAGGGGCCCGTCTCCCAGGAGGCCTGAGCGGGGCTCTCCAAAAGCCCAGGGCCATCTGGCCCAGCTGCTTTAAGAAATCCACCTTTGTGCCACCCTGCCTTTAGGCATGTTTGTGCAGTAGTCTGGGACATCATTTAAAGGAGCACCCTGTGCCTCTTGGGTGATCTCCGGGCTAGCTGGATTGTGTGGCTAGCACACTCTGTGCTCTGGAATAGCCTGTCAGCCCTGGAAGCAGCCTATATGAGCCTCTGTAGGGGAAAGGGGTGGAGGGGTGAGCCACACTTAGCCTCTCATTCATCAGTTCCATCAACCAACCAACCAGTATTTGTGTCACACTTTCTGAGTGTCAGGTGCATGTTCCCGCCTGCTGGGGACCGTGGGAACAAACAGGTCACTGCCCTCATGGAGCACATGCTGTGATGGGAAAGGCAGACCAACAAAAGGTGGCCAGACTGTGACAGGAGGGTCGTAGAGCATAACAGAAGGGGTGTGGCCTGGCTCCCGGGAGGGCCTTTCTGAGGAGGAGATGTGGACTGAGAAGGATGTGTGCACGCCTGCCTCCCAGGTGTGCATCAGTGGGAAGGGCCCCTGCCTGGACCCCTTAGTTTTCACTGAAATCTGGATTTGTAAGACCTGCCTCAAAGAGTGTTTCAAAAATTGTTCTACATTATCAGATGTTCCATGAAAAAGATCTGTTGGCGATGTCAGTTTGGTAAGCACTGAGTTAAACAGGTTCCTTTATGCAGGACTCTCTGAGCCTTCATTATGCTCACGTACGTGGTGAGCCCACCAGAGGCTTCTTCAGCATTTCTAAACCTTCTGACTACCTGAAACAGCAGATCACCACATGCTGACATAAAATACTGAAACTTTATTTTAGAAAACAACCACCATATAGCACTTGTAAGACTTGTCATTAAGGGTGTGTCAAAAGCAGCGTATCCGATACTGTCCCCTCACTGTGCCCGCTTCTGCCATCCCTGGGTGCATGTTCCCCTCCTCCAAGGGTAGGTTTAACTTTGGAGCCAACTCAGGTAAAGAAAGTGGGTGATCAAACTGGGGAAGACCCCTTTGGGGGTTTGAAAATACTGAGAATAATTTATTCTTGTGCAGCTCAGAAGCTCTGGGGGTAATTTCCAGAAAGACTTATAGAAAATTTTGAGTAAGGGACATTTTGGAATAAATTTCTAATAATTTTCCAAGGTGATTACTCTGAAGAACAGATCTCTTTTATATTGAAAAGTCCCTGTATTTGTTTTAAAATGAGGTTGCAACCTCGGTAAGGGGACAGAGTATAAAAGCCAGATTCTCCCTTGTCTGCCGGTAAGCACAGTGGTTGGCACACAGAGGGCAATTCAATCCACAGATAAGTGGATGTTTGGAAGAATGCTGAATGGAAATTGATTATTTTTCTCAGGCTCACAGTCTTTGAAGAGTCGCTGGCTCCAGTACATTGTTGCCCACTCCTAAGATACAAGAGTAGAAATAGATAGTAAAGATAGAACAGAAAGGTTTCCCACCGTCCATAAACTTGAGGAAAGTTTCCTTCTGCCCACAGGTGAGAGCCTGCTTTTGTTTTTTGTTTTCTTTCCCTTTCACCTAGGTTGGCAAATTGGGCAATATCTTCTTTTAAAAAATTTGGTGTGATCAATTTCTCTGTACCCCCTCCAAAATGTTGGGTCACACCTTCACCCAACTGAAAAGTAGTAATGAAGCTCTAGTGTCCAGCGGGCCTCCCAGCCATACAGGGAAAATCCCTCAGCAGATTTTCCTTGACAGAATCAATTTCAGGGGGCAGCTAGTGGAGAGCATGCTGATCTGCCCTGCAGACCTGAATGAGAAAAACCGAGAAGCGAGCAGAGGGACAGCTTGACCCTAGTTGCCCATTGCAGCAACATACACTCTGACTAGTGAAGAGTTCGTCTGATCTGAATGTTATTAGTATCTTGACCGTAAGCAGTTATAAAAGGGAACTTCATAAAGTTAGGGGAGCGTGTCATGACTGTCTTCCCACCAGAAGGACACCTCTGAGTCCTGGAACTCACCCCACCCCCGACCCAACGGGCAGAAGGCACATACCTTTCAGGTGGAGAGGCAGTTATGACAGTTGGGAAGTAGAAGGCACAGAAGACAGAGGGCAGCTCGACACAGAGAACCTCCTGATAACTATACCGGCCCAAAATGAACTGGACTGCCTTCGGGGGGCCTGAGTTCTTCATCCCAGCAGGTGTTCAGATAGAGGCGAGATGCCCACCAAGCAGAAATATCACGGAATGGTATCAGGGCTGACGGGGGAGTGGGGAGACGGAAGGTGTGGGTGCTCACCCCTCCTCCCCAGGAAGCCGCCCCTCAGCTCAGAGTGCTTGCTCAATTGTGTTACTTTGTGGCTGTCATCAACCACATCTCCAAGAGTGGGAAAGAGTAGCTAATGTGTCATACGGTGTTTCTGGCAGCAAAGTCCATGAATTACTTATCTTAGTATTGCTGTGTGATTATAAAAACATACCTAGGCCTACTAAATCAGAATCTTTGGGGGTGGCACCCAGGAATCTATCCTTTAATATGTTTTGTAAGTGATTCTTATTAGCAGTAAATTTGAGGATCATTGGTTTAGTGGTTAAAAGCATGTTAGAGGGCCTAATCGTACCTCTAATACTCACTGGGTGATTTTAGGGATGTTACTTAAGTTCTCTGAGCCTTAGTTTCCTAGTTTGTAAAATTGGGTTGATAATTAGTTTCAGTCTTATAGGGGGTTAGGGGATTAAATGAGGTAATGTGTGTAAAGCACTTAGCACCCCGTTAGTCGCTGTGATAAGCATCCTATTTACAATTATAGGTAAAGACAGTCTTTCCTACCACTGGAGAGACCATAGAGCCAGGATTGTAATGCATGTACTAACCCAGCAGGCCAGGGGATCTTAAACTAATGGGCATCAGAATTAACCTGCTGTGCTTGTTTCAGTGCAGATTCTTGGGCCCTATTTCCATGTTCTTAATCAATGGGTCGAGACAGGGTCTAGGAATCTGTATTTTTATTCCAGTCTGACGAACTCAAAGTTTGTGATGCCACCCTGCAGTGTTCTCTGTTAGGGTAGCGTAGTGGCTTTCTGCTGAGACTTGTGTTTAAGGACCTGTTCTTCCCCTAAACAGCTCTTTGACCTTGAACAAATTACTTAAGCTTCCTTGCCTCCATTTTCTCATCTGTTGAAAGACTGTAATAATCCCCATTTCATAGTATCATTTTATAAATTAATGTTTGGAGAGCACTTTGCAAAGTGCCTATAGGACATAGCAAGTGCTCAGATGATCGTAGCTAAAACACAGCCTCCATCCCCCACTAGTTCTAATTGAAAACATTGCTGCTACTAAGGTCACTTGAGTTAATAAAAAGTCTGGTCATTGTTTTACATTCAACGTTGACTGAAATACTGGATTTATCTTAAGATGCAGTTTTTTGAGACTACTGTCTATTGATTAGGAAAAACACAGGCCCAATAAATTTTTATTGGTGGTACAGTTAGTTACAAACACACCCTTCTCCTTGGGTCTCCACAAAGGGGGACACCAAATATGCCCCTGGCATCACATTTGGCCACATAAGAGATTAAGTGGAATGGAAATTTTTTTTTATCCCCCTTTCTGCTCTGCAAAGTATTTGACTTAACATTTTGTGTAGGAGGTAATTTTGGTTATTTTTACCTGCCTGATTGATTGCTGGCAACATGGCACTTTGGTTTAATTCTAGATTTCTGAGATGTCAACCCTTACATGTAGGAGAATTAACTCTTATAGCCCAGGAAGGTTGGGCCCAGCCTTCCTTGGCCTCGGGCACCCCCACTCAGGAAACACCACCTGGTAACGGCGCGTGGGGGGTCTCTCTCTCTCTCTCTCTCTGCGGCCCAGGTACCATTACTACGGCATCGCAGTGAAGGAAAGCTCTCAGTACTATGACGTGATGTATTCCAAGAAAGGAGCTGCCTGGGTGAGCGAGACGGGCAAGAAAGAAGTGAGCAAGCAGACGGTGGCGTATTCCCCTCGGTCCAAGCTCGGGACGTTGCTGCCAGAGTAAATATCACGGAATGGTATCAGGGCTGACGGGGGAGTGGGGAGACGGAAGGTGTGGGTGCTCACCCCTCCTCCCCAGGAAGCCGCCCCTCAGCTCAGAGTGCTTGCTCAATTGTGTTACTTTGTGGCTGTCATCAACCACATCTCCAAGAGTGGGAAAGAGTAGCTAATGTGTCATACGGTGTTTCTGGCAGCAAAGTCCATGAATTACTTATCTTAGTATTGCTGTGTGATTATAAAAACATACCTAGGCCTACTAAATCAGAATCTTTGGGGGTGGCACCCAGGAATCTATCCTTTAATATGTTTTGTAAGTGATTCTTATTAGCAGTAAATTTGAGGATCATTGGTTTAGTGGTTAAAAGCATGTTAGAGGGCCTAATCGTACCTCTAATACTCACTGGGTGATTTTAGGGATGTTACTTAAGTTCTCTGAGCCTTAGTTTCCTAGTTTGTAAAATTGGGTTGATAATTAGTTTCAGTCTTATAGGGGGTTAGGGGATTAAATGAGGTAATGTGTGTAAAGCACTTAGCACCCCGTTAGTCGCTGTGATAAGCATCCTATTTACAATTATAGGTAAAGACAGTCTTTCCTACCACTGGAGAGACCATAGAGCCAGGATTGTAATGCATGTACTAACCCAGCAGGCCAGGGGATCTTAAACTAATGGGCATCAGAATTAACCTGCTGTGCTTGTTTCAGTGCAGATTCTTGGGCCCTATTTCCATGTTCTTAATCAATGGGTCGAGACAGGGTCTAGGAATCTGTATTTTTATTCCAGTCTGACGAACTCAAAGTTTGTGATGCCACCCTGCAGTGTTCTCTGTTAGGGTAGCGTAGTGGCTTTCTGCTGAGACTTGTGTTTAAGGACCTGTTCTTCCCCTAAACAGCTCTTTGACCTTGAACAAATTACTTAAGCTTCCTTGCCTCCATTTTCTCATCTGTTGAAAGACTGTAATAATCCCCATTTCATAGTATCATTTTATAAATTAATGTTTGGAGAGCACTTTGCAAAGTGCCTATAGGACATAGCAAGTGCTCAGATGATCGTAGCTAAAACACAGCCTCCATCCCCCACTAGTTCTAATTGAAAACATTGCTGCTACTAAGGTCACTTGAGTTAATAAAAAGTCTGGTCATTGTTTTACATTCAACGTTGACTGAAATACTGGATTTATCTTAAGATGCAGTTTTTTGAGACTACTGTCTATTGATTAGGAAAAACACAGGCCCAATAAATTTTTATTGGTGGTACAGTTAGTTACAAACACACCCTTCTCCTTGGGTCTCCACAAAGGGGGACACCAAATATGCCCCTGGCATCACATTTGGCCACATAAGAGATTAAGTGGAATGGAAATTTTTTTTTATCCCCCTTTCTGCTCTGCAAAGTATTTGACTTAACATTTTGTGTAGGAGGTAATTTTGGTTATTTTTACCTGCCTGATTGATTGCTGGCAACATGGCACTTTGGTTTAATTCTAGATTTCTGAGATGTCAACCCTTACATGTAGGAGAATTAACTCTTATAGCCCAGGAAGGTTGGGCCCAGCCTTCCTTGGCCTCGGGCACCCCCACTCAGGAAACACCACCTGGTAACGGCGCGTGGGGGGTCTCTCTCTCTCTCTCTCTCTGCGGCCCAGGTACCATTACTACGGCATCGCAGTGAAGGAAAGCTCTCAGTACTATGACGTGATGTATTCCAAGAAAGGAGCTGCCTGGGTGAGCGAGACGGGCAAGAAAGAAGTGAGCAAGCAGACGGTGGCGTATTCCCCTCGGTCCAAGCTCGGGACGTTGCTGCCAGAGTTTCCAAATGTCAAAGATCTCAATCTGCCAGCCAGTCTGCCTGAAGAGAAGGTGACCGTGTCTGACGTGTTACTGGGACTGGGTGGTGTCTCTCTCTCTCTCTCTTTTTCACACAACACACATACACACACACACACACACACACCCCTACACTTTCAGTGTAAAACAATAAATTAAATAATATAAAGATAGAAATCTGAATAAAGCATGGGCTTTAGTTACTATTGATGTATTAGTGTTGGTTCCTTACTTGTGACAAATGCACCACACTAGTATAAGAGGTGACTGGGCATGAGGTATACCAGAATCCCCTCTATTATCTTCAAAACTTTTTATAAATCTAGTACTATTCTAAAGTAGTTTAATCTGTCTATCTGTCTAATCTGCCTTCTTACCTACCTATGAAGTTTAACTATCTCACTGCATGAAGGAAGGAACCCTCTCCTCTAGATTGCTTTTTTATAAGATAAAGTTTATTTCCCATGTGCCGCAGAGGATGCGGTGAGATAATAGTCTCACAGACAAAGATTTTGTAGGTATAGTGAATCAGATAGTTTGGGTCATAGCATATATGGAGGAAACTATTGGAAACACATCTCTAACATACCTATCTGGCTACAGCCAAGTGCACCATGGACGCTGAGCTTTTGCGGTCTACGTATCGCACCGGGAGCAGAGATGCAGGGGCAATGAGGCATAAGTCCTGCTCTCAGGAAGCTCACCATCCAGTGCAGAGCTGGATTCTCGTGTATCAGCAGCCTGCATTTATATACATGCATGTCTGTGTTCTGAAACACACAGCGTATCTGGAAAGAATGCTTTAAATCTACTAGTAAAATTTTTTTTCTCAAATGTGCTTTATTTCTCAACAAACTTCCCATATCATAACTTTAAAATTCTTGGAAAAATGGAGCCAGAGATGAAATTCTTTTGCTAAGCAGATTCCAGAGAATTTCCAAATGTCTTACTTTGGCAAATGTACCTCTTCTTACACACACCAGGTTTTAACTTTTCAGTAGCTAAGCTGTGGAGAATTTCATCAGTACCTCCTACTGAACTCTACTATGTGCCAGGCACTGTGCTAAACGGATGTGTATAAAATGCCATTTTAACTTTCCCAGAGCCCAGTCTCAGGGGGTGGAGAATGAGGGCAGAGAGAGGAACTGAGTACCCACCACCACGCCGCAGGGTGAATGCTCTGCTGGAGAAACATGTGCAGGTGCTGTGGGAGCGCAGAGGAGGAAGCTGGGGTTCAGAGGGCACCACCTAACGAAAATTAGTCTCATCTGGGTGTTGCAAGAAGAGTAGGTGTTAGGCGAATTTTATCCCCTCGACAGGGAATGAATGACTTAAAAATTGAAATCCCAAGGGCAGCAGTAATGTATATTAATATTTGCCTTTGTTGTTGATCCCTCCCCACCCCCCACAGGTTTCTACCTTTATTATGATGTACAGAACACACTGTCAGAGAATACTGGACACTGTAATAAGAGCCAACTTTGATGAGGTAGGTCAACAAATATTGAGCTGTGAACACTTTGAAACTACTATGATAACCCCAACTCCTATTTCACAAGCTCCTGCTAGGTGTCACACCTCTGGAAGTCCTTAACGCACCCGAGCTCACTCGATCTGCACAGGGATCCTAGAAGCTAGCACTATTACCATCCCATTTCACAGATACTCTGTGGGAAGAGCGGTCGGCATGGCCTTTGATCTCACCAGGGAACAGCAGGAGGGTTGGCCAGTTGGCCTACCGGGAGCGCGGTGTTGCCAGGGTATCGTTACACCCAGAATTACAGACCCAGAGAAACGTAAAGAATGCTTTCCTATATTTTAGATTTGATCTTTTCCTGAGGCTCATCCACTCAGTGTGTTTTGGGCTGGTTCACACCCCTTCACTCACCAAGACTTGTCTGCATGTCCATCAAATCCTGGCAGTAGGGCCATCTTTGAAGTGTAAAGAGTCCATTTCACTTTTATTTAAAAATATTACAGTTAAAGAATGGGAATAAAAGAGGATTGAAACACCAGTTACATAACCAGAGAGACATTGAATCAACCTGCCTAAAATGCCATCCAAAAGAGCCTCTCAGAGAGATGGCAGGAAGCCACACATTTCATCCTGTAAACCTGAGGCCTTTCTGTGTACGGAAAATGGCTTTCAGGCAAAAACAAAAAATGCTCACCCTGGGGTCAGGTGTGGACGTTCGAGGGAAGACCATGCAATCTCTAAAGGGCCATACAAACCAGCAGCTATTGGTGTGAGAGATCCCGGAGATGGCCTTTGTGTGTTTTAGGAGGTAGGTACTGTTGGAGATGGAGGGGTAGAAACCGATATAAGACACAGAATGCTCTTCTCCCCACATTTCTCTGCCTTCCTGCTGCTGTCTCACAGCAGTGGGTGTGTGTGGAGCTCTTGCACTTCGGTTAGCTCACTCGCTGCCCCCACAGTAACCCTGTGTGGCAGGGGACGTGTGCCACCTGTCCCTTGGCTCATAGACACAGGTCCAGAAGAGATAGCGTGTTGGCAGAGATATGTTCTGCTTCCCACCCTTGATTTCTTCCCATTAGATTTGTCAAATCTCCCAAGTTCCTTGAGCAACCATTTAGGTGGATTTTCTTTTTTTTTAACAAAGAAAAATCACCTTCTCTTCTATACTGTGGTTTGGCTCTGTCTTACATGAGGGAAAACAATAATTCATCATCATTTCAGATAACACGGGCTTCTTAATACATCAGAAGTTTATTTCTCACTCACGTCACAATCCCAGGTGGATGCTCTGGGTTGGGAGGCTGGTTCCCAGGGCTGGTTCAGGGGCCCAGGCTCCTCCTACCTGTGACCACACCTGCCCTTGGAGCCTTTGTTCAGCTGATGGTGGACAAAGGACTACAGGGAAGACATACCCTCTTCTTAACCTTGTCATCCCAGAAATAAAATGCATCCCTTTTGCCTGTAGCCCATTGGCATGAGCTGGTCTTATGGCTCTGCCTTAATGCAAGGGAAGCAGGTACCTCACTGAGCAGCAGTTTATACTCAGAAGAGGTATCAAAGCTCCAGGGGGCAGCTGTCCCTCCTGCCACAAGCATTAACAACAAAACTTAGTGACAGTCCTCACTGATATCTTACGTAGTTTTCTTTATCTTAAAAGTACATATGAACATCGTCTCATTTCACTTAATTCCATTCATTAATTCCAACACTTATTGGGCAGCTAATGGTGCCAAACGCTGCCATAGGTCTCAGGAATGGGATAATAATTAAGACACAGCCTAGAGAGGAATAAAAAAGGAATGCCTGCCAGCAAATGAGATGCAGAATATATCATGAGAGTTCCAGAAACCTTGAAGAGCAGTGTTCTTATGGGAAAAGTACCAGACTTGGAGGCCAGGCTTGGATCCAAGTCCTGACTCTGCCATCAGAGCCTCAGTTCCTCATTCTAGAAATGAAGATAAAAATACCACCCTTGTCTACCTAATTCATAGGATTACTGGAAGGGGAGGATGAGACAATGCCTGATAAAAGCTCTTTGTAAACTGTAAAAAGTCATGCCCATGCTTCCTTTTATCAGATATGCCAACCAAAGACTTAAGAAACTTGCCTAAGATCACAAAATTGGTTAGGGCCAAAGTCATGGCTAGATCTTTGTCACCTGATACCTCTAGTGCCATATTCTTTCAACTCCCCTGGCAGGGATATTTGGTGGCTGTTTTTAGGATGGCTAAACAAGATGTGGTTCATTCAACTCAACCACAAAAGAATTAGTGGGGGGATATTTTACCTCTGATGGGCTTGGCTTTCTACTACAGCTGAGAAAAGGCATCTGGTACACTTTCATATTAAAGTTTGTTTCAAGTTTTTAAGATCTTTAATATCCATTGAGGTTACAACTAATGTTAATATCACAATCTTAAATTATCTTTTTGGTTTCCTGGTTCGTTTTTGTCTCCAGCCATCACAATGTAAGCCCTTGAAGTCAGGGACCTTGTCTTGTTTACCATTGTATCTAGGTCAGCCATACTCTTAGGCTGTCAGTAAATATTTGTTGGGTAGGTGAGTAGATGGATGAATGGATGTGTGGATGGATGGATGTGAAGCGCATAGACTTACAGCATTATCAGGCAAGTACAAAGAGCCCGGGTCTGCATGTAGAGGACTCCCCTGCAAAGGCTTCCCCAGACTGCGTTGCCCAAAGAGCTGTAAAGTCATATAGTCCTGTGTTTTAGTCCCATATTAATCACTTACTAATCTGTGGCCTTGAGCAAAGTACATAACCTCTGTGAGCCTCAATTACTTTTGCTATAAAATGGAGATAATAAATTTATCTACCTCATAGTAAAATTGTGATGATTACATGAAAATTCTGTATGTAATGACCTCAGCGCATAGTAATTGGCAGGTATTTCAGTGTTTCTTGTTCTGTTGAGGCCCTCTCGGCACGGTCGCACTAAGAGCTCCTGATTGGAACTCATCATATGCGTTTCCACAGGTGCCAGTGTACTCGGAATAACTCAATATGGATAGGGAAAAGAACAAAAAACTTGCTTACGTATTCTTAAGGAAATTATCCGCTGATACTTCACTGAGCCAGGAGAAAATGGGCTCAGAGTTCAGGGGACTGAAATAGATAATCTAGGGAACTTACTTAAAATAATCATTTTTAGTTATTTGCCTCTGATTATTTCACCACTTTTGCTTACAAGGAGTAAGGAGAACTTCTTTCTTTTGTCTAATAAGTTGCCATGTGTTAAGTGCCTACCTGATGCCAGACATTTTACCAGTTACCTTATTTCATCCTAGCAATAGGAGACATCATTTCCATTTTACAGAAGCTGATAGCTCTCATATTTATGTACTTAGTCCTGAGCTCCAGATTCAATTGACTTGACATCCAACCTAACATGCCTCAGATCTGTTCTTCCCATCCTAGATGGCTGCCTCTACCACCCAGTTGTTCAAGCCACGAGCTTTGATTCTCTTTGCCTTTCCTGTTGGCTCTGCCTCCAGTGTGAGCACTGTGTCCCTTTCACATCTAACCTCAGTGTCCAGCTCTTGAGCTTTACACTGTTCTCCCTCCTTCCTCTTCCTTCTCACTCCAAAGAACCAGAACCATCGGACACTAAATGGTCCAGGATGCCGAGTAGAAAGGGAGGTCATAACTGGCAAATGAGCCCTCTGCAAAGGCTGCTCAGGAGACAGGACTGAGTGGGGCTCCCTGTGCAACCCGGGCAGGCTTGAAACAGACAGGTTAGCTGCTAAAGACTGGTTTTCCACAGATGTGTTTTAACCTACACAGCCCTGGTCTCCAGAATTTCTGCTAGAAGGTGACCTCTTATTAAAAGTAATAAAATAAACGAGTAGGGCTGCATGCAAGGAGAGCCAATAAGAAGGCCAAATGAATTCAGTATCTGCCAAATCTTAAGAATCAACTGGTTCCTAAGAAATCAGAGCCTCTTACTTGGTGTTCAAAGAGCAGGCGGGAAGGTCCAGGCCCTGGCTGGAGGCTGATGGCCAGAGACAAGCTGGGGCAGGGGACAGTGGGGGTGTCCTCTGGAGAGCAAGCACCTTGTCCAAGAGCCATGGCCGTTTCTGGGCCCAGGCCAGACCAGTGGTCAGCCACCAGTTGTCCCAGTGACAAAACAAGAGCCTTGACAGGTGGGCAGAACCACAGTGGGGTTCCTTGCTGGGTGCCACTGAGAAACTTAGGCAAGGGTGTCTCAAATGCTTAGGGCAGTACACTGAGTCATAGGTATAACAACAGCAATAATAACCAATCTTTATTAAGCAACTACCATGTGCCAAGTACTTTTTAGGAATCTTTACCAGAACCTACAGTAAATACATTTATTCCTATTTCACAGGTAAGGAAACTTACCTATCTCTAATCTAAAGCTTATTTCTGACCTTAGAGATGATATACTCCTAGTTGGTAGTGGGGCCAGGGTTGGACTCTGGAAGGCATCTTCCCTCATCTGGATTTTCTGTTTTAATTTTTGATCTGGCTACAAACTGCTTTGTTCCCTGCTTCTTATCCCCCAAGCCACCCGTTCATTGCTTCCATTGGGAAATCCAGACAGGCTGTGGATTTCAAGTGTATCCACAGGAGGCTGAGCTCAGGTCACTAGGCTGGGGTCAGAAAATAGCTTCATCAGAGGAAAGCTGGACCCTGACTCCTGAGAGGGCACCACAGGTCACCAAGGCAGGGTAGAGAGCTGGGACGTAGGTGCAGTTCATGGAGAGACATGATCTTGGGAATGGGGTAGAAGCCCAGTTAGAACAAACTAGCCCCCAAGACTGATTAGTGGAAAGATTGAGGGAGACCTGGGCTCTGTCTGATCCATTCCCTGACTTGCTGAGTGGCTTTAGACAAATCGCTTGATGTCTCTGCAAAATGGGAGCGATGCCTGTCAGCTGTAGTAGTGTTATGAGTATTAAATGAGAGAACCTATGCAAAGCACCTGGCATATAATAGACACTCAATTAATAAATCTAATGCCAATAGTAATATCACCTCCATGTATTAGACTTGCAGAACTAAACCATTCCCTGAATTGGATCAGGACTGACTCAGGGAACCAAGAATGTGGGTAATATTACACATTCAAGAGCACCCATCTCAGGGAGAAAGAAGGATGCATAGTCTAGGAACCAAGTCAAGTCTGCGAGATTCATAAACATTCAGTAATTTGTTCCCTAACTTCAAGATAAGCCACTCTCAATGTTAGCTGAAATCCAGGTATTTTTTAATGTCATTATATGAAGAACCATTTTATACTATTTCCCTTCAGCTCCCTTATCTTGTCCCACCCCTGCACAGCCTGCCTTGCCCTCTCCCTGACCTCCAGCTCGCACACTGAAGGACACAGGCGTGGGAGCCATTGGGGAGGTCCTGCCTGGGCCTCACTCAGCCACTCGGCCATCAGCAGCAGGGCTCAAGCTCCTGCTGTCATCATGTCAATGATAATAATAGCTCCATTCTCGAGGACCTGCTGCATTTCTGTCCCCTACTAGTGGTTGGCGTTGAAGTGCCCACACAGCTGACTGCCCGGAAATCCTCATGTAGCACCCCGTAATGGCAGCAACTGGTCAGGGCTCTTTGGGAGAATGGAGGCATTTGGATAGGAAGAGGCCCTTGTGTTTTATCCAGTTTTTGGTGCACAAGTTTGAGTCATGAGACTTTTGTTTGTGGCCCCCTTTCCCTCCATCCAGACACGTTTCTGAACTTAGAGATAATATACTCCTAGTTGGTATACTCCTACATGGCTCATACATGTTCCCTTCCTTCCTCTATCCCCAGGGCACCAATGGGCCCAAAGAATAGTGAGCGCTAGTGCTCTGAGCTTTCCAGTAGCAGTAACCCCCCTCCACTTCCCTTAAACTTCTCCCAGAGCACAGTAAGCACCAACGGGCCGCCAGGTTAACGTGCCTCTCCTCTCTCCTGGGGCAGGAGAGCCCCAGGCTGTCAGCCAGGTGCTTCCCCAGCAGCGGGCATGCAGGACACAGGGGCCGGGGGAAGACTTGGGGGAGGAGGACGCGCAGGGCCTCTCAGCCACACCAGACGGGGCGGCCCCTGCTGCCGCAGGGGAAGTAGACGACAGCAAGCCGCCTGCTTGGCCCTGGGACTCTGCCAAGGGACGCTGTGTAACCTCGTGGCTCTTCTTCTCTCTGCGGGTTGATACAGGTTCAAAGTTTCCTCCTGCACTTTTGGCAAGGAATGCCCCCCCACATGCTGCCCGTGCTGGGCTCCTCCACGGTGGTGAACATCGTCGGCGTGTGCGACTCCATCCTCTACAAAGCTATCTCCGGCGTGCTGATGCCCACCGTGCTGCAGGCGCTACCTGACAGGTGGGCGCGCTTCGCGTTTCCCTCACCTCTGGGCCCCTGCGTTTGCCGTTCCTGCCTCCCTTCTATGGAGTATCGTCTTGCACTGTCCCCGGGCCTCCCTTGTAAAGGCCACTCATGTTAGATTTTTAAAAACTAAAGTTTATTTTTATTTTTAAATATTAATAAGAATTTTAATATTTGAGCAGTATACAGTGAAAAGTCTCCACCCCCCACTACTCCTTTTCCACGGAACCCCCTGAGCGTCAGATATAATCATTTTCTCGAGGTGGTGTCCGTCCAGATCTGCTACGCATGTGTGACCAGCGCATATATGAACTGTTTCTCTCTTTCTTACTGAAACGGTGACACAGTATATATACTGTCTGTACCTTGCTTTAAAAAAACGGTCTTGGGCGCTTCTGTTGGCCAGTTTCTGTGCCCCCCCAGATGCACCCTCCACTGCGCCTGTGCTGCCCTCTGCCCTGGGGGTGGACCAAATGGACGACCTCACGGGGCTCCCTGTCCCGTGGGCTTCCAGCTGGGATCAGCCAATGGAGGTGAGGAGGGAGGAAGAAAGTGACGTCAGGGGCTCGGCCCTCTGCCTCCGTCCCTGTGAGGCCCCCTGGCCGCGTCCCTCCATGGGCCTCTTCTGCCTTCCCGGCAGCACGAGCGTGGGTGAGAGCCCGCTGTGTGTAACCCCTGCCGCAGCAGGCTCCCTCAGGGGATCCTCTGTGCCTGCCCACACCTTTTTGATCTGTCCCTTGTAAGTAAACTCTCCTGGACAGTTGGAGGGCATTCCACATCATTCTAGACAGAGCTTTTTACCCTTCTGTACTCTTTTGCACACTCTTCCACTGCACTGAGTTTAATCAGTTGTCGTGTTGTTTCAGTCTTGTCCTATTTAAATGATGATATGATGAATGATGTGTGAACTGCATTCTTTTGCATAGTGGTGTACGATAGTTTTATAGAACTGCAGTAACAAAGGACCACAGACTGGTGGCTTCAACAACAGGAACGTATCCTCCCATAGTTCTGGAGGCTGGAAGTCTGAAACCAAGGTGCAGGCAGGGCTGGTTCCTTCCAGAGACCTTGAAGGAGAATCTGTTCCATGCCTCTCGCCTAGTTTCTGGTGTTACGCCAGCAATTCTTGGTGTTCTTGGCTTGTAAACATATCACTTCAGTCTCTGCCTCCATCTTCACATTGACTCCCACTCTGTGTCTCTTTGTCACTTATAAGGACACTTGTCATTGGACTTGAGATCCACCCAGATAATCCAAGATCTCATCTCAAGATCCTTAATTTAATCACATCCTCAGAGGTCCTTTTTCCAAACAAGGTCACCTTTGTGAGTTCTGAGCAGGCATATTTGGGGAGGGCCACCATTCATCCTACTACATGGAATGTATGTACAGGATGAATTCCTGGAGGGCTGTATTCTGATTTAAAGGATGTGTGACTCAAATATTTCTCTGTGAAGTTTTAATTTTCATGTCTCTTATGAACAAAGTTGAGTATCTCTTCATATCTTTAAGAGTGATTTATATTTTCTTTCCCTGTGAAGCATCTGTTCTTATCTTTCAACTATTTTTATGTTTTGTTGCTTGAGGTTTTTCTCATTGATTTTTAGAAGCTCTTTGTTTATTAGAGATACTAACCATTTATCTGCGACAAGGGTTGCAAGTATTTTCTCATTTTGTTGTTCTTTTGTCTTTGCCACACAGTAATATATTTATGTAGTTGAATTTATCTGTCCTTTGTTTTTATGGTGTCTGGATTTTGTATCATACTTTTAAAAGTCTTCCCTACTTCCATTATTAAATAATTTCCCCATGGTTTATCCCATTAACTTTATGGTTTAATTTTGTACTTTAAAATTTTTGTTCAGTTTGTAATCCATCCTGATATAAGCTTATGTAAAGTATGGCTTTCAGTTTTTCCCAGCAGCTATCCTGTTTTCCAACACAGTGTGTTAATTATTCCATCTTTTCTTTACATCTTTTCTTCTTTTTTTATATAGTAAGTTTTATATGTATTTGGGGCTCTTTCTGGACTTCTATTCTATACCTCTGATATTTCTATATATTCATGATCCAGGGTCACTCTGAGTTTTGTGCTTTTAAACATATTTTAATATTGGGTAATGCTAGTTGTCTGTTATTTTTACTATTATTTTCCTGTTATTGTCACTTATTTTTCCATATAAACTACTTTATCATTAGTTTGTCTATTTAAATACATACACATATGTAACACATATGTGTATGTATTTTAACTGGGGTTACATTAACCTTATAGATCAATTTAGGGAGAATTATATCTTAATGATATTGAGAATTTCTAACAAAGAACATGGTTGACATTGCCATTTATTCTGATCTTTAATTTTGTGGCTTCAGGAATATTGAAAATGTTTTTTCATATAAATCTTATATGTTTTTAAAATTAAATTTCTTCTTACATATTTATATTCTTGTTGCTATTGTAAATGCAGTCTTTCCCTCCAGAGCTCTTGACTGATGGTTATTTATATATATGAAAACTATTGATACCTGTGTGTTATATTTGGAGCTGGTTATTAAATTTATCTTGTTGTATTTCTTTTTTGAGGTTCTCTTACATTTTCCAGGTTTAAAATCCTATTATCTAAAAATATAGATAATTTTACTTTTCTGATTTTTATACCTCTTATTTATTTCTTCTAATTGTGTTGGCTTATACCTCAAGAACATGTTAAAGTTCTGACTTCAATGAAAATGCATCTAGTCTTTCTCCATTAAACATGATGCTGGCTTTTGGGTTAAGACTGATAGATTTTATCTTGTTAAGAAATGTCCATCTTTTCTTAATTCATTAAATGCTTTATGAAGAAGAGTTATTGGATATTATCCAATGCTTATTAATTATTGATTATATATCATCTAAGAGATGATTATATTATCTATCTAGTTAGTATTGAACGATTCTTACATAGCTATTATAAACCCCACCTAGTATATTATTTTCTTTAATGTTTTGCAGGATTTTATTTTCTAATGCTTCATTTAGGATTTCTGCATCAAAAGTTATAAGTGAGGTTGGCGTGCAGTTTTCTCTCTGTGTTTGGTCTTTATCAGTTGCTGGTATCAATGTTATTCTTGCTTCATAAAAGAAATCTGGAAGCTCCCCACCCTCCACCACCAACTTTTTTTCTAAGCTCTGAAACAGTTTAAATAGCATTAAATTATTTGCTCTTGAAGATTACATGGGTATAATTTCCTTCTGAAGGCTTCTGGGTATGGTATGTTTTATGGAGTCAAATCTTGAAATTTTTCTTTTTTTCCTATAATAATTGGTCAGTTTGGATTTTCTGTCTTCTCTGAGGTAAATTTTAGTAAATTATATTTTCCTAATACCCAGTTCTTCCATATCTTTACATTTATTTATTTAGGACTGAGCAAAGTGGGTGTGTGTTTCCCTCTGGGTTTATATATCTTTATTAATTATAATCTATCTTTAAATAATATTATACTGCTTCACATATGGTGTAAGAACCTTACAACAGTATATTCCCAATTCATCCTCTCATGTTTTGTGATATTGTTGTCATACTGTTTGGTTTTATATATGCTATGAACTCACAATATATCATTACTATTTTTGCTTTAGATAATTATCCTTTAGAGTGATAAAAGGTGTGGAAAACAATTTTTTAAATCTACCTTCATTCTAATGATCCCTGATCTTCATTTCTTTGTGTAAAGCCACGTCTCTGTGTTATATCATGTTCTTCTGCCTGAAGAATTTTCTCTAATATTTCTAGAATTGCAGGTCTGATGGTCATACATTATTTCAGTTTTTGTCTGAAAGATCTTTATTTCTCTTTCATTTCTGAAAGATACTTCCATTGGGTGTGGTGTTCTGGAGTGACACATGTTTGTTTTGTTTTCAGCATTTAAAAATTCTAGTTGATTGTTTTCTTGCATGTTTGTCTTTGTATACCTTTTCTCTTCTGTATGTAGTGTGCCTTCTTTCCTCTGGCTGCCTTCAAGATTTTTTCTGTCTTTGGTTTTCAGCTGTTTAAATATGGTGTGTCTAGTTGTTTTGTTTTGTTTTTAAATCTTGCTCTAAGTTTCCTGAGCTTCTTGCATCTGTGCTTTGATGTATTTCATTATCTTTGGAAAATTCCCAGCCATCATCTTCTGCTGTTTCCTCTTTCCTCCTATTATCTCAGTTGCACTTATGCAGACCATTTGACACTGTCCCAGATCTCTTGGATGTTCAGTTTAACTTTTTTCACTCATTTTGTGTTTTGAGTAATTTTTCTCGGCCAACATTAAGGTTCGTTGATTCTTTCCTGTGTATAGAGTAGTTCACTCTACCAATGCAATTGTTGAAGCCATTCTTCATCTGTTACCATATTTTGTTTCTATTTTAATTTCTAACATTTCATTTGATTCTTTTTTATTGTTCTGTTGTGGGTTTTTTTTTTTTTGCTGAAATTCCTCATCTGTTCATGCTCATTGCTTACCTTTCCATTGGAGGCTTTAGCATATTGATCAGTTATTTAAAATTCTCTGATAGTCTGGTTCTGTTGATTGCTTTATCTCTTCAGAGTATGTTCTTTTTCTTAATTTTCTGTGTCTTATAATTTATACTGACTACCAAACAGTGTGTAGAACAGTAGAAACTGAGGTAAATGGTGTTCATGTCTGGAAATGGGCATACATACGTCTTCTTCTCATAGGCCCTTAATATGAAGAAGTTGAGTCTGTTTATTCAGGAGTTCATTGTGTTTGTGTTTTGCTGTTGCTATTATTACCTTCAGTGTAACTACCACCAGATTCAAACTTTTCTGGGATACCTTGTGCTTAGGTTAGAAGTTTGTTTGTTGAGGGTTTTTTCTCAATGTTGCTCATCTTTAGGCCTCTCCTGTGTACCTCTATTACACTTGTTAGACGGTTCAGGGCTGGAGTGAGAGTGGGGGCCTTTGTTGTCCTAGCTTAGTCTTAGGCAAGCCCTGTGGGTTTTTGCTCTCAGA